GACTCGGAAGTGGAGGTTGAGGAATGAGAGTAAATCACAACATCCACACTGTTTATAACGTCCCTGAAAGTCTGCAATATAGTACATTTGCATTGAGTAGACGTTTTAGACAAGCTCATTGCTGTGCGAAAAAGCATTTATAATTGAAGCAGCAGGAATGATGAGGGGAAATCAAAATAAAATTCCCAAGTTTGTCAAGAGATTCAAGATCCAACAAAGTAAAAAAATGTACCAATGGGGATCTGGAAGGTGAGAAAGACGAGGAACCTTTATTGAAGAAGACGGAGGAGTCGAAATCGCCTTCATCGTTGAGTACGTCAAGTGCATCCAGTCCTTCTTCTTCGCCGCCTTCACAGATGCAGGGGCTAAAGATGATACACTCGAGAAAAGGTATGAGTAGATGTGGCGCCAGACGTTCTAAGTATCGCATTGCTTTATCACGATAGGCAATCAAAGAATAGTACTCTGTTTTATCTAGGGAAACAGAGAAAAAGAGACGGTTGGCACTTCCCTATATCCACGGAGATTATTGGGATCAGGGCGGATTACATACTTGATTCAAAAGTGCTCCGTCGAATTTGGCGTTCCCACTCTGCAAAAATTCTCATCCAAACTCTAGGATGATGTATGAGCACATCCTCACCAAATTCTGCAACCAAATCGAAAGGTGTACCCGGAAGGCATTTCAGGTAGTTGATAATACTGTTGTAGTTCAACTGTCCATCTGTGGCCGCATTGCTGTCGGTGTCATCATCCGAAACCATTGATGCGAGACAGTGGAGCGCCTTACAATGCAAACCGCGCATCCTATATAGTGTGACGAGGTCCTATAAGACAAAGTCATCCCACGTCTATCAGTCAGTACGATTGCATTCCAATCGCTTCAAATCTCACCTTCATGCGGTTGTTGGCCTTGAGGATTCTCTCCGCCTCCTCAAGTAAGCAATAGTTTTCTTGTCGCAAAAGAGGTGCGATTCTAGCGACGTTAGTTACTTGATAACATTTCAGGAGAGTCGTGTCGACAACTTGGAGTAAACATCGTCGACGTCTTTGCTCTATGCCACAACCCACAATAACACCACAAGGAACGGATTGTTCAAGGAAATCCTCTAAGCTCATTTCCTGAGGACGGCTGCGCCGAAGACAGTTCCGCCATCGGGCGAGAAATGTAATAAGCGGCTCATAAACTGTATCCCTATCGGAATCCGCGAGAGGCTACAAAATTCTACTTCATAAACATAAGTAGACATTTTTAATCAGCCAAACAAAGAAACGCACAACAGGAGGTGACGGATAACGCAGATTGGCTGATTCCTCTTCAACAAGCAAACCAGGACATAATCCAATGACCAGAGTTGGGTCCGTTTTAAGCTTGTAAAATAACTGAAAAGAGCTTTCAAAGTCCCTTTTGGTGTCAAATAGATAAAAGGCAAAAAGGGCCCCAATCGGATTTGTCGTGACTTGCGGTTGTCCCGAGATTTTTGCAAAGCATGACACTCGCAGTGCCACCTCGAATTCCTTCAAAATAAGAAGCACCCATTACAAGTCTACTTTCAAGTCTCTATGGTTCAAAAATTCTTCTATGTATGCGGGGTTGATGCCTTATCGATAACCTTTAACTTCCGCACTTTAATAGTACAAAAGCGAAAAAAAATTCAACTAAAATCTGAAAAATTTCTATTCACTATTCCTCATCCGTTATATACACTTTTCCAATGCACTATCAACCGGTACAGACTTTAGTCACGTGGTCTTTACCCTCTGAGTGACAAGTTTTTGAACAAACTGAAGACGATTGGCAGAAAGAAGGAGCCAGACATCACTCCCTTGACTCATAGAAGGCAATTCTGTTGAATCTGCTGAAAGACATGGTTGCGAGTCATCTGGATGGTATAGTGATGCTGCAGCTGATGCATACAGCCACCCATATTCATTGGAACACATTGAACGAATTCGTGGAATCGTAAACGTTTGCATTAAAAGGCTAGGATCAAGAGAATGCACTTCCAATTGCTTCGGAAGGCCCTAAAATGTAACCAGGTGAAAAAGATGTACGAAAGAACTTTAATCAAAATATAAATAGCAGAAAGTAAGTTCCTTAATAATTACCACAAGAAGAAAGGGAGGAAAGACTTGAATGCACTGGGCGATGTCCGAGCACGTGCAAGCTGGAGTGCTTTTGACATCAGCGTCATCAGGCAGGAGGACGAAAAAACTTTCATCTGAGGCGAATACAAATGGTGCTGAAGCCCCAACAACCCATTTATCACAACAGTTCAACTTAGCAACATCTGGATCCTCAGATTTTATGTCAGTTGAGGTCTTTGTGGATCCAACTTCATCGAAAGTAATGGGATCCATACAGTACGGCAATGGACTCATAAGGGTAGTTGTCACTTTCGCTGAAGTAGAAATCCTCTGAAACTAAATTAGAAAATGGAGAATAGTTTGTTGCGTTCATAAGTCATGCTGCAAAAATGTCCAGTAGAATTATAAAAGGTAATAAAATATAGTACTGTTCGCCACTACCGGCCAATATGGGAGATTAAACTCACCTCTTTTGTGACCAAATTCAAACGCATATAGTTAGATCGTGAGGCAATCATTAGAGTTTCTAAACCGCAAAATTGCAGAGACCTTGCAGGCTCTACAACAGAGTATTCCGACGGCCAGAATGCAATACTCGGATCATCCGCTTCGGGAGGAGGTACAAAGGCTCGCTTAAGAGGAGCCCAACGGAAGAAGTGTACTTTTTTTTTCGCGCACAAACATAAATTCAGTCTCGGCAGACAAACACTTGACGGCAAATGAACTTCGTCAGTGTAGGCCAGAGACTTCTTACAGCAGTTCGGAGCATCTGAAGATTATTTTTTTGAATAAAAACGAATAAATCAAATTCCCGATAGTCAAATTCAAAAGGCTTACCACAGACGCTAAAGCTATTTTTTAGCTCTTGACTTGGTGGTTGGTACATGATTGTGAAACAAGTAGCGCCCTTACTATTTGGAACAACGGCAATAAGTCGTCTATTTGAGAGATTATGAGCAGATAGCTGGAACTCAGTAAGGGCTAAGAAAAACCCATAT